AGCATTCCATATAAAACCCTACTCCATTGGTGATAGCTTTTCGTACATCAAAGACCAATTTCAAATATATAATTACAAAGTATAGAACAAAGTACTGACTGCACGATTGGGCAACTGGCTGCCGCGCAACGTGTTGCGGGTTCCATACATACATAGGGAACACTGGGTGTGATATGTATATGAAATTGTATGTTAGTAAACGCACCCACGACACAGGAGAAAATCCTAGTGTGGAGCAACGTTTTGTTTAACAAAAAATGTCGCTTTCTTTGTCCCTATATCCCTGAGTATGCTTATTAAAACTTTAAAATTACGCAATGAATTTTGATGCTGTCTTTATATTAAATGTAGTGATTGAAGACGACACTTTATATGTATAATAACATCTATTAAAAAGTTAATAACATCTATTAAAAAAGAATTTAATATCAGCATCAGCATTGCACCCGTGCGAAGTCGGAAGAGGTCGCTACGTAGCTATTTTTTATAATTGACCGAGAAATAATTAGAGATGTCTCATTGTCATTCTGTTTGCATTTTGCTACTACTTCTGTTCGAAATAATTAGTCAATGAACAGTTTTTAGAGAGGTCCAAGAAATTAGAAAAATATAAGCAGAAATTGTTAACGTGTTCACTGTGACATGAAGCGGTGTTGAGATCGAATGTTTAATAGAAAACAGAAATATATCATAAAAGAGGGTATTTCAAAATTGGACCTTATTATTGTAACTTCATTACATATTCACCTTGTTTTGAATTAAGACCTTTTAGCTTAAGCATACATACATGATCATAAGGCTCTGTACAGTGTACCTACATGTCATTGAATTTGCAGGATTGCCAGCCCCCGAGTTCAGCGACAATGCCCTAAGATATAAGTTCTCATGGAATCCTCGAGGAGTGCTTCTCAACACAATCTCTGCTGCCAAATATCTTAGTAAAGGACAGGTGAGAAGAAGGACAACAACGAATACTAAACGTATTTAATGTATTGTTACTAATATTAAAAAAGGGGAAAATACTATGTAGAACTATGACCATCCACTATGTTAACAACAGTCTATTGACTGGCATTGTTCAAAACAACTCAAAATTTTCAGAGGTTGATATAATTTTCATTGTAATAAACCACATGCAAAAAACAATTACTAAAATCACGAATAAGTAAGAGAGAGAGAGAGAGAGAGAGAGAGAGAGAGAGAGAGAGAGAGAGAGAGGGATCTTATTTTAAATTTTAATCCAATAGTCTAATTTGTATTTAATTTTGTAATCATTCAATTAAAGATGAATAACCGGAATTAGTCCAAAAATTATACATGAAAACCTATTAACTTGTAATATTTATATTTTATACCCTCAGAATACAGTTGTTCTGTATTCTGAGTTTATACCATTATCGCATATCGATGTTGGTTATCTTAATAAATAAATAAATTATGTTGGACTGGAGGGCTAGTAATCCGAGGAAGATTTGAAAGCATATGAACTGGTTATCCAAAGCATTACTTACAAGAACCCTTAAAAAATCTTTTTTCTATGAATAAGAGAACAAGTTCCTTTACTATTATAAGAGAGGGAACGACTGTTACTATTAATTATTTCTTGGGTCCCTCCTTTATTGTAACTACTTCAATATTCCTCGCTCCTCAGATCGTCGAAGTGTTGAGTGGTGGAGAACTGATGTCGGTGGCTCGCGACCTCAACTTCTTGCCCGGCTTCGCGTTCGAAGGGTTCCCCAACAGAGACAGCACCATATACTCCAAACTGTACGGCATTGAAGATGCTCACACCATGTTCAGAGGGACTATTAGATACAAAGGTAACATTTTTTTAAGGCACATGACTTTCCTCTTGATACATTTTTCATAGGTTTTTTTTAAAGTGATAAGACGGCAAAAGAGCACGATTTTACACACTCTATATTTAAAAGAGTAATTACCTGATGGTAAGCAATCAGCGCCACCCATGAACACTTACAACAACGGAGGAGTTGAAACTGCGTTGCCGACCTTCTAGAGAATAGGGTTTTGAGGATTTATGGATTGGGGGAGGGGAAGGATCGATCGATCGATAACTTCAGTTGAACAGCGAAACACAACGCTGTGGTTATTTCACGCCGGCGCCGGTTTTCTGTAAAGCAATGGTATCATTCCGGACGAGCTGGCCCATTCGTGCCGGCTCTCCCATACTTATACTAAGAGATTTCGTTCACCTGTAAAACTCGATATGTTAAACTAATAGCAAATACATCAATTTGTAACTAAATTGTTGTTTATATTGCGTATTTTAAATAAAGATTATTTGTAAAATTTCAGGTTTCGCAGAAAACATGATAGCGATGCAGCTGTTTGGGCTAGTGGACCCCAACCCCCACACGTCACTGCACCCTGATGGACCTAAGATCACATGGGTAAATACAATTAGTGACATCATCTGTCTCTCTAAATCTTTATTTTTTTATTCATGAACATTAAGATTATCGCCCGTAAGAGTATTTTCACTTAGGGCTGATTTTTCAGTAGTCAGATAAATGTTATTGGAGAAATAAAATTGTTGCTGTCACTGTCTTATACAAACATTGTGACGCGACAGCATCATAATTAAGGTAACTTTTATCTAACCAATGAAAAATCAGCCCTTAGCTAATATAAATTATTTTATTGCATGCCAGATTTTTATTTGTTTTCGATTTCTCTTTTACTTTTTCATCCATGGATTGGAATAGCTTGCTTTCAACGGTCTCTACGTCCAATCATGATTTATGTGTCTTCAAGACTAGAATGAATATATTCTTAATAAGTTAGTGCGCCTTATCATCAACGATTGCATCACTGCTTACCATCAGATGGTTTTGCAGGCAAGCACTCGTTTAATTAACTAAAAATTAAATGTTTTTTCATGCAGCGTCAATTTGCCTGTGAACTTCTTGGTCTGGTGGACTCCTCAATATTCTTCGAGAACCTGAGGACGAGGTTGTCAGAACGCATCGGTCCTGCGGGGGCTCAGTCACTGGAGTCCCTTGGTCTTCTGGATGACGTCGAGATTGTCAAGTGTGGAACACCTCTTGATACTGTCAGCCATTATCTTAGCAAGCGATTACAATTACGTAAGTGGAATTTAAAACATTTAAAACCTAGCCATAATTTCACTGTCCTATCAGGTGACAAGTAGATTAACTGAGAATACCTATGCTTGAGATACGAATCAAAATGTGTTGGTAAGCGCATAACTCGAAAACGCCTAGACCAATTTTGCCAATTCTTATTCTGTTGTGTTTGCTATTGCTACCAGAAGGTTTACATATAAGATTAATTAAGAAAAGTAGAGGGGGAAATTTAAAAATCGCAACCGGTTAAATAACCATGCGAAACAGGGCTGACGGCTAGTTAAAATTAAAACGTTTTCTTTTTTTTTCAAGTTTTCAGATAGGATCATTTTGCTTAAAGTAAATTTTACTGAATTAATAAAAAAACTTTATTAAAATGACATAAATATTTACAAATACAAACAAATATATGGTCTCCTTTACAGAAAAAGACGAGACTGACCTGGTGGTGCTTCGTCACGAGCTGGGCGTTACTTGGAGTGATGGTAAACGGGAACGGAGGGAGGTCACGATGACCGTGAGAGGTGACCCCAGCAAGCATACTGCCATGGCCTGGACCGTGGGTCTACCGACTGGAATCGCTGCTAAAATGGTGCTTGATGGTAAGATACTGGGTCTTTTGTCTTTGATTGCTAAGTTTGCGCAATAATCAGTCGATCGCCTAAACACTCGCGATGCACGGGTGATTTTTTTGCGTATTCCAGGATAAATACAAGTTAAAAATCTAGGTGGGAGTGATTACTTGAGTTTTAGTTTTGGGCAAGATTATCTTCAAATCATTCAGACTTAGGTTACAACCATGAAAGTGACAACTGATCTTTCTTATTTATGACTAGCTATTCTCGCTCGGTTTTAACGTTCTCCTACAGATCGTAGCTTGATGTTTTATAGCCTAAAGCCTTACTCAATAAATTGTCTATTAAACAAAAAAATAATTGTTCAAGTCAAACCAGTGGTTCCTGAGATTAGCGTTCAAACAAACAAACAGACTCTTCAGTTTTATAATATTATATATAGTATAGCCTGATAATCTTAAATTGTTCTAAAATGCCCTGTTTGTGTTTTCAGGTGAAATCCAAGAGCGTGGTGTGGTGCTTCCATTTTCACCAGTAGTGTACAAGTCACTATTATCCCGACTAAGATCTGACGGGATCCACGCAAAAGAAACTACGACTCCACTCAACTGAACCTCAAAAGTATTTTCGTACTTGTGCTTGGACACAAACAAAAAACCTTTGTGATCGGTATTTGAAGTTTAATGGCTAAAAACATTCCAAATGTGTTCAACCTAGTTATATAACACAAACGTTTCATTTACTTGTAAATAATATAAATATTAATAAGTATAAGATTGTTTCTAGTATAATATGTATGTAGGTATAAGGTATGCATTATAGAATAATTTGTAAATTAAGTTGTGTGATGACGAAATGTGACAGCACTTTGAAATAATTATCCACTTAATAAAAACAAAATGTTTAATCAATTTTTTTCATTTATTGCCTTGACACAAAAGAGTAACGTAAGTAAATAACCTCAAAGTAACATGATGGACGCCGGCGCCGCGGACGCCTTTATCTACTGAAAAAGTAATAGTATAAACGTTTTTGACCGCGGCAAGACAACCGCTGACAATGAAAATACTATTGTCCAGTAATGTCATCTGGAAAAAAAAGGTGTGACATGATTGTCATTCTTATATCATTTTTTTGCTAACCTAAAATGTTTTATCAAATGACTTGATTCTGCTATTTTGAGTTATTTTTTACAGTTATTTTTATAAATTTGTTGAGCTAAATCTCGATTGTGTCGTGACACGTCCATTTTACACTTAAGATTTTTTTAAAGCGTGACAATTTAATAATGATGACTTTGCGTTAAAGTCACACTGAAATGGAAAACGACCCGAATAACACAGTAAGTACTCATGTCAAGCAGGCGGCAGGGCGTGCAGCCGCGCCGCTGGATCCACGCACGCCCACAGAAATACATAACGGATCCGCTAGGCGATTCCAATAAACACCGCCTTTCTCTAACACATTTCTTTTTTTAAAAAGGGAAATTGATCTTATTTTTTATTTATTTAATCGTTATGCAGCGTTAAATTACCTTTATTCTACGATGAACTACATAGACGGACTTAATACTCGCGTATTCGCATCAGTCAAAACTTTTGGTAATATATAGATAGTATGGTTGGTGAAATAAGAAGAAAACAATAAAATTAGTTTACAAGCGCACTAACATATCTAAATATTCATATTTATAAATACAAGTAGGTACATAACATAATACGGTTAGTAAAAATAAATATCCGATCCGATATACTACATACATAAACGTAATAATATTTGAATAGTAGGTACCTATAATATTCTACACAGTAAGTACAAAAGTGAGAGATAGCATGATGATGGTTCTACCAAGAGTCCACTCAAGAGATGTTTACGCTATTAGGTCTTAAACAATTTCGTACTTCCCGCCTTCCTGGTTTCCAAGGGCGCCCCATTCCATAGAAGCATATATAAAAGGAAAAGTTCTTAAATTTTCGATTCGAAAAGTTTTTAAGGTCAAAAGGTATGTGGGTGACACATACTAAATGATAATGAAATTCGCTTCAGCTCTAGCTATCGAAGCGGATAGATGTTTGAGACAAGATTAGACTCAATTAATATTTTGGTAGCTGTACCAAGAATTATGACATAATGGTATATGGAGTTAGCAGAACATCTACATATATCAGGTTGAACTATCATTTAGATGGTACAGTCAGACAGTAGCCCGGAGGTTAAAGCATACGGTTCTCATGCATGAGGGTGCAAGAGGGGTTTAAAACCTGACAATTACTAATGCGACTTCTCTAATTTATATGTAGGTACTAAATGTTTTAAGACAGTACTGACCGAAGTTAAGGAAAACATTGTAAGGAAACTGGACTTACAATTCCTAATTATAATTTTGAAATCACCTCTCCACCTTAAGCATGAAATCGCGGTGATTAATGTTTAAACCTTCTCCGTGTCAGAAAAGGCATTTTCTAAGCAGTGAACACTCATATGCTGATGATGTAACGTTATTATTTAGGTCAGATGGATTTTAAGTGTTTCTTTATTAGCTGTACCTAATCATTTGGTTTGTGATGATCAGACGGCGGGTCGCGAGACTGGACGGTGCATGTCGGTGGCGGCGATGCAGGCGCTGCACCGACTGCGCGAGTGCCGGCTGCTCTGCGACGCCATAGTGCGAGCAGACGACGGCGCCGCCTTCCCTGTGCACCGTGCCATACTCTCAGCCTGCAGCCCATACTTCCTGTACGATCTTAATTTATACCTATATTTAAACTTAAAGTAAACACCACCATTCGTCATTTGATGACCCTCCTGTAAAAAACATCAATTGCAACTTTGCAAAACCGATTTCTCGTGCTTAACAGATTCTGTATTATTCAAACCTAAATTTTGATATATTCTCCTACCAATTCGACATTTTCTATGATTAGAAAGTGTAAGTAAAATATTGTAACAGGGCACTATTTACAACAACGTTGCACTCTCGCGAACAAAGCGACGTGCTGATATCGGGCGTGCGGTCCGAGATCCTGCTGCTACTGATTGAGTACGCGTACCTGCGCCGCATCGAGGTCACCGACGTGAACGTGCACGAGTTGCTCATGACTGCGGACTACCTCGCCTTCCTCGGTGTGCTGCAGCTGTGCTGCGACCATCTGAGGGCCTCTCTCAACCCTAAAAACTGTCTCGGAATTATGATGTTTGCGAGGTTAGTGGCCAATTTATTTACGCCATTTTCTATCGGTGAAAGAATAATTCGTCAACATGTTGTTTTATTAGTTTTCTGTTTTTCAGACGTGTGTTTTGTTATAAGCTAGAGGCGGACGCTAGACGTTATTTGTTGCGTTATTTCGTGACAGTAGCGACCCAAAGCGATGAATTCCTCCACCTGCCTCTCGAAGAACTCAACTCTATTATATTAGAAGATGAACTTAACGTTAAGAGCGAAGAAGTGGTCTGGGAAGCGGTGCTTCGCTGGGTCAATTATGATCCAGACAGTCGTTGGCAGCACACCGTCAAACTGATGGGCAGTATACGACTTGGACTTCTGGATACACAAGTATAGTTCTTATTCTGTCTATATTAACCCCGGATTGGGAAAACTGTTGTTGGATTACTCGATCCTAAACGCAGTAAAATTATCAAAGTTTAATTGCAAAAAGTTGTACAGTTGTATGTAAATAGCTATAAAATATAATATCTATTTCAGTTTTTCTTAGAAAACGTAAAGGACCATCCATACGTGACTGGCAACGAAGGTTCGCGGCCAATTATTATTGAAACTTTAAAGTTCCTGTACGACTTGGAGATGATTGCCCAGAGAGACGGTGAAGTGGCTACGCCGGAGATTGCTCGGCCAAGAGTCCCACACGAAGTAACGCATATTTTTGTTCATTTTCCACACATCACTATTGGAATCACTCTCTAGTCTGTCTCTCTTTCAAAGAGACTGGAGACTGGACAGATTTATTTTGACAGACAAGAGCAGTCCAGAAATAAATCGAAATCGTCATTTCAACAAACATATTATTATGTTTTCTTCTCCTGAACTTTCCTCTTTCTTAACCCGACTTCTTTTTTTTTGTGAAAATTGGAGCTGTCATTAAAATCAGTCTATTGTGAAAATGTGAATGAGTCGATTGTTGTATTATGGTACTTTCAGAGTTTTCTTTAAGCATATGTACTCGTAAAATACGTACTTACCTAAAATTTCATAATGATGATCCTTCATTTAAATTTATCTTAAAAAGAAAATGCCACGACGGTTTCAACGGCTTCATAAAATAAATAAAATGTCTTATTCTCCAGGTTCTATTCGCTATTGGAGGATGGAGCGGTGGATCCCCAACAGCTTTCATTGAAACATACGACACAAGAGCTGATAGATGGATAAAGGTCAGCTTTACTTTTTATACATCTATGTGCACAATATATAAAATCCAAGCAACCAATCTTACATTCTGAGAAACTTCATTTTCAAAGTGATGCGCGTGCAGTACCTTCACAGATATATCTAATTGAAATAGTCGGAGTTAAATCATGAAACTCCAAGGCTTCGCTTGGGGTTTGATGTCCCTATTTTTCTTCTAATGTGTCTCGAATTACCATTACCAAAAGTTAAGCAGAGCAGCACCTAAAGGTTTTATTTGACGTGTAAAAGTGCCGTTTTAAGGCCTATTTGCAAAAATAAATTCATTGTTTCATTGTTTCATCACTCTCATAACACGTGGTCACTATTAAATTCTATTCGGTTAGGTTAAGTTTGCCCATTTTCATTTCATTGTTAACCTCCTTCTTTCTCCTTAGGTCGAGGAGGTGGACCCAGCAGGTCCGCGAGCATACCACGGCACAGCTGTGCTAGGTTACTGCATATACGTGATTGGTGGCTTTGATGGAATGGACTATTTCAACTCGTGTCGCTGCTTCGACGCGGTTTCCAAGTCTTGGCGTGAGGTAATGCTATGTCTCAATAAGACTACTACAGATTCTAGTGTTGGTCTATCAAGAGGTTCCGGTGTCCCCTATAGCGGTGTTGAAGGTGGCCACCGGGGAGGTTTTAGTGAGGTAATAATCCCACACAGGGATTGTAGGAGTCTTTTTCTCCAAAAGCTAGGCGTCTTTTGAAGGTTTCCCGCTAACAAAAAAAAAAAAGACTGCTACAAATAGAGCCCAATAGACCCATGCGGATCAGCCTCGGGCTCGGCTAGTAGCAGGAGTAGGAACGGGGTGGTTTCTAGTCAGTAAGAGTCTGACACTCCTTTAGTCATTCGATGATTTTTGCCTCTCAAAAAATACAATGCTACTAATTTACTAAAGAATATTAAGGTCTTTGACCAATAAAGTGTTTCATGTTTGATAATTCATTAATCAACGTGATTAAGCGCTTTTTAGAAACCTACTTGAACCACAATAAAAAATATTAACTAATAAATTGTCTTAGCTAAAATTGTACATGTAATTATTTTATAGTATTATATAGTTGTGTTAAGTGCTGACCGGATTTTCATAAGAACAGGAATGAAATTCTGCGGTGTTTCTAAATGCCGTCGTCGTACATTAAAAAATAAAGCTTCAAAATTGCATATTTCGTATGTCATATAGACAGCGTATGAGTATGTATTGCAATTTCTTTTCTTCAACCTTTCAATGAATTCAGAATATCGCAAAATAAAAAACATCTGTATAACATATCTGAAAGTGGAAATTGTGTGCAGGTGGCACCAATGAACGCACGTCGTTGTTATGTGTCTGTGGCGGTGCTGGGAGAGACAATATATGCGATGGGAGGCTACGACGGCCATCACCGGCAGAACACGGCTGAGCGGTTCAACCACCGCACCAACCAGTGGTCGCTCGTCGCACCCATGAACGCGCAACGGTCAGACGCAAGCGCAGCGGCCCTAGACAGTAAGTTGATATTTTGGACTAGTTACAGAACTGTTTGGATTGAATTTGACCAATCAGAGTAGGTACATTTAGAGAATTGAAACTCAAATAGCGGAGGTTACTACTGGTATGTCCTCGGCCTGTAGCAGGAGCAGGAACAGGACAGTTTTTAGTCAGCAAGAGACACTTCCTCTCGCCCTTCCTAGGGCAAGCTGAGTTATTTGATGGTATCAGTATTGGTCTGGTATGGTTGGTCTTTAACTTGACGTGGGGTATGCAAGTGATGTAGAGACTTAAACTAAGTTCTGGCGCACTGAACACACTCCATCCGAGAACAAATTTACGCCAATCGCTTTAAAGAGAGAGTACCTACTTAATTAAGACTTATCAAATTTATTTAATAATGAATCTTTTAATTGAGCAAAACTACTTGGTCTCGTTTGCCAAATTGGACGATAAAAATTGCATAACAATATTTCTTAATTAAACATTTGTTAATTAGCAATTGTAGATTGAACTTGTTATAGCTAGTTTTATCTAAGCTTATAAGAACCAGTGAATTAGAACTAATTAGATAGATAGTAATAGTTCGATGTTTATCTTATGAATGATAAATAAACAAAGATGGAAATAATTACATTTAGTTTACATCATTATTCTTAGTCTATTTCCGATATTTTCATATCTATTCTACATTTCATGGTGGATCTAGAAAAAGGCTGTTATCAAAATCGGTCCAACCATTCTCTAGTTATCTATACTAATATTATAAAGACGTAAAATTTGTATGTTTGTAAGTTTGTATGTAGGGGGTAATCTTTGAAACCGTTGGTTGGATTGCCAAAATTCTTTCACTGATAGATAGCTATAACGTTTTTGAGTGCTATAGGCTATAAAACATCACGCTACGATTCAATGGAGCAGCTGGTGAAGCTAGTAAATTCTAAACAAGTTAGTAAAGTGAAATTAATTTCAACTAGGCGCTGTTTAACAATGTCTGCTACATAACAGATAAATTTTAATTTAGAACGTATTTTGTATGAACTATTTATGTATATGTATGTCATATAACTTTATCGACTTCAATAATTAGGCGGTGAAGTAGTTGATTCACCATAAAATAGCTAAATATCAAATCAAAATATGTTGTATGGATTTCTAGAATATTTTTTTTAATATTGATTAAAGTAGGCACGAGGGCTGGTTAAGATTAAAAAGGATAGAAGAAGTCGCAGAGTCGTGCCAGCTAGTTCAAATATAGTTTATTTTTTATCTGATATGACAAGTGAGGAGACGGATTATTGACATTTTGATTGATTATGACCGATTGACATCTGCAACACTAGAGGAGTTCCGAGTGTGTTGCCGCCCTTTTTGGTATTTGACTTTCGGAGATTTAGGGGTTGGGTTGGTCATCCGGCAACATAATTTACACAGCGCTATGGTTTTTTCACGGCGGCTTTCTGTGAGGCCCTGGGTAGTATCACTCCGGTTGAGCTGACCCATTCGTGCCGAAGCTTGGCTCTCCTACACTTTTTTACAAAGCGTCCCGAAACATTGGTGTCCCACACTTAAATTCGTGCTGAAGGATCGCACTCCAAAACATAAAAATCAATCATTTTATATCAATAATCATATTAATGTATTACTTATTAATATAAAATAACACAAATTGGTTTTATTTTAGATAAGATATACATAACGGGAGGTTTCAATGGCCAGGAGTGCATGAACAGCGTGGAGGTGTACGATCCGGATACGAACCAGTGGACGAATCTGGCTCCGATGCGGTCGCGCCGGTCCGGCGTCTCGTGTATCGCTTACCACAACAAGGTATTTAGGTATTATTGCTTGTAACCTTATTGTAAAATAAACAAATGAATAGGCTGCGCGACGTCGCCGCGTCCGCGCACGCTGCTCATGAGGAAGAACCCCTCTGTGGTTCGAAACTAGTAGAGCTTTTCTCAATATACACACGTGAGTAACCCGCGATTTTTAGTTAATTTAGTATGTCTCACGATAGTTATTATAAAAACAAAACAAATAATAATTTTAATGGTGATTGGGTAAGTAACTGTAATGCCGTGTTACCTACATACATTCCCGCACGGAACAACTCCTTATGTGATATGTGAATTGTTCTTCCGGGTTTACGGGACTCGTGTATGTAAATTTGTACGTTTTAAAGACACCCACGACCTAGAAAAAAACACTAGTCCGACACTAGTATTTTTTGTTTCCTGAAAATATAGAAAAAAAAAATCACGGCTTCTTTTAAAGACCAGAATATGCCATAAAGCTTAATGAAACATATTTATTTCATTAAGTTCTATGGCAAATTTCAATTCATAAAAGATAAGATATTTAAATAACAACGAATCTGACTATGTCTACAAAATTACGTAAGAAAATGTCCCTTTACCAACTAACAGTTGCGTAGATAAACAAAATAGTAAGATACATTTGAGAACAATATTATTGATCACATAATTAAACTTATGTAGGTACGTATGACCTCAAAATGGTAAACGAACGATATCATGTCAGGATCAGCACGGGTCAGAACATTACGCCGCCGCGACACACTACACTGATATTTTATTAACGAAAATTTATTGTCAATTTATCTATCTAAATTCAGATTTCTATTTCAGTTTTGTATAGTCATTTCTAGATGCTTCTAGAATGAATGATTAATGTGTAGGTATTTTGTCCTAGAAATGTGAGTCATAATATTATTGAGCATTTTAACTCATTACTTCGTTATACATATAAATGCCAAGTTAATATGTTCTTCCAACACTTGTTATTTTTGCTATCGCCTTGTAATCTCTAGTTGTGTTTATACTGATGTATTGAGGCGCTAGTTTCTCATGCATGAGGTTGCGGTTTCGAAACCTGGCAAGCACCAATTTGACTTGTTCCGAGCTATATGTATTTTCTATGATTATTTAGACACCACTGACATATCGTGAGGACACCTGGATTTACAATTTCTTATTATAAGTTTGAAATCGCCGATCTGCCTTAAGGCGGCTTGCTCAAGCAAGCGTGGTGATTGATGCTCAAACCTTCTCCGTATGAGAAGAGGGCTTTGCTCAGCAGTGGGCACTTATAGGCTGATGATGTGAGGTTTGTTTATAAGTAGTATGCTGCCGACGGTCGACTGCCTCGTTACCTTCCGATGATGGGATTTCGGACAGTCGGACATTGTAAGCATCTGGTTTTATGACTATCGACGTTCTCACCATTTCGTTTTCATTTTAGATAAAGCATAAAGTCTGGAGTCCAACGTTGAACCTATAGAGTAACAACTGCTGCTAATTGTGACATACTTTCAGAATCCTACTTAATAACCACTAAATACTATAAAACAAAGTCGCTTTCTCTATCCCTATATCTCTATGTATGCTTAAATCTTTGAAACTGCGTCGCGCATTTTGATGCGGTTTTTTTATTAGAAAGGGTGATTAAAGTTGAAGGTATATGTCCCTATAACAACATCCATTAAGTAATAGGGTCATTCCATTATGTATTAGCATTGCACCCGTGCGAAGTCGGGGCGCGTCGCTTGTACTTAATAAATGCTTATATTTTATATGTTATCCTTTCATTTTACTAGCACGTGTGGCTGAAGTTAAAAAAATAATATTCACATATTTAATTTGTTCTTTCTTCGTTTACCTAGATCTACGTAATAGGAGGTTTCAACGGCATATCTCGAATGTGTAGCGGTGAAGTGTACGACCCGGCTTCGAACACGTGGTCGCCTGTACCTGACATGTACAACCCTCGCAGTAACTTCGCCATAGAAGTCATCGACGACATGATCTTCGCTATAGGAGGGTTCAATGGTGTCACCACCATATACCATGTGGAGTGCTACGACGAGAAAACCAATGAGTGGTAAGTATTGATCTTTATTGACAATAGCTTTTTAAGTGTGGGAGAGCCATGCTTCGGCACGAATGGGTCGGCTCGACCGGAGTGATACCACGGCCTCACAGAAAACCGTCGTGAAACAACCGCAGCGTTGTTTCGCCGTGTGAGTGAGGTTACCGAGGCCCAATCCTTCCCTTCCCCAATCCCTACATCTCCAAATCGTTGATCCCCAAAAGGTCGACAACGGACGCGAAACTCCTCTGTTGCAGGTAACAAACATTATTATTTTTGTACAAGTGTTACTAAGGTTGATTGGATGGTTGCTATTTGGAAAACACTTAAATGATATTTATTATATATCATAGATAGAAATGAATTTTGCATATCTAATCATAACATGTTTAGTACTAAGTACCATTCCAATCACGTTATTCATAAGATTAGAACGTAACCCTATTAAGTACATAATTATACAGATTTAATCTCTTGACTGAAGCACGTGTTTTAACTACAACACACACACATAGCTAAGTACGTATGCCTACTTAATATTTGCATTATGCTCTCCTTCTCAATGAAACTTCCAAGAGTTTAAGAGTTACCAAGAGATCAAACGACGACGTTATTGCACGCAGGATAACAATTAAAATAGAACATTCTCAAAATTCGTCTTTAGTGAGAAAGATTTACAATAAGAAACTAAAAAGTAATATATCCTCATTTCATTTATGCAGTTAGTTTTTAGTTATTACGACTTTACTTATCTATAATAATATTATAAAGAGGTAAAATTTGTAAGTTTGTATGTAGGGAATAATCTTTGGAACCGCTGGTTGGATTGCCAAAATTCTTACACTGATATATAGCTACAATGTTCCTGAGTGCTATAGGCTATAAAACATCACGCTACGATCAAATCGAGCCAAGCAGCGGGTGAAACCGCGCGAGAGTAGCTAGTAATAATATAATAAAGCTGTAGAGTTAGTTTGTTTGAACGCGCTAATCTCCTAAGCTACTGGTTCGAATTGAATAATGCTTTCTATGTTGGTAACTTCATTTATCGAGAAAGGCTATAGATTATTAAACCTCACGCTACGATCTATAATTGAATTGTCCAAACACATTGACTTAGTGTTTAACAATTTCTTTATTGTCTTTTAATGAATTTTTTTAATTTTCTTGAACGAGTCACGTGTGATTGATACTTAAAAATATATCAAAAGTATATATTTGCATTGATTATAAAGAGGGTTTCGCATGATGAAATTCTTTACATTCATCATCATTAGTTAATGAGGGATCAGAATGTGGGTTATCTCTCTATAATACATCGTGATGGATGCGTGAACATGTTTTTCAGTTCTAACGCTGTATACATAAGAGCTGTATTTGTACCTTGATTACATAAATATATGTTTTCTTGTATGTGACAGGATGGCGAACGATCAGACGGATTATCTGGGAATGAATGTTTTTTTTTATGGTTCCAAATTCGAATTTTAATTTTTTTTTTGTTGTTGTTAGATTGGCATAACTGTTTTCCATTTTGGCGCGGAATTTGAGTTGCATCTGTTATTTATATTAAAAACAGTGCTGTTTTTAGTTTTATAATATCTAGTGTGTATTGCGAATTTCATAATGGACAAAAACATCGAACAAAGAGTTTGTCTTAAATTTTGCATCGCCAATGAAATTTCGTGTTCGGAGGCACTCAAAATGTTACACAAGGCTTACGGTGAATCGACTTTATCAAAAAAAAAATATTATTAAAAAAACAAAATACCCGACTGCACACTAAAAAAAGAGTAAAACAAGACCCACAATACAAATTTACTGAATATAATTTATAAATGTTGATGGAAAGCATCGCAGGCGGGGACCAACAGAGGCTTATTTATAGTCATTTCTGTTGTGCACCATTTAGCAGAATTTTCGTTGGTGGCGGTCAAGGTGGTCCCCGCCTGCGATGCTTTCCATCAACATTTATAAATTATATTCAGTAAATTTGTATTGTGGGGCTTGTTTTACTCTTTTTTTAGTGTGCAGTCGGGTATTTTGTTTTTTTAATAATAATTTTTTTATTTATAACTTTTTAGCTGTTTTTATTTAGAAAAAATATTATTATGTCTTTATCCCGTGGGACTTTTAGGATAAAATGTATCCTATGACACTCCCGTAATCAAGACAAATCTTACGATACCTCAAACATCAAAATCCATCAAGCCGTTTAGGCTACAGGAGGTCACAAAGGAAAAGACATACATACATACTTACATACACTCGAAAAACATTACCCTCCTTCTTTGGCAGTCGGGTAAAAACACGTGCTTATGAGTGGTACAAAGCGTTCAAAAGCGGTCGAGATGTCATGGAAGATTTGCCTCGTTCTGGTAGGCCATCAACGTCTGCAACTGAAGTTAACATCGCAAAAGTGAAGGAAATAGTGACTGAAAATCCTCATTCAAGTTTGAGAGAGATGGCCGCCGAACTTTCTGTATCTCACGAGTCGATCCGTACCATTTTAACAAATAATTTGGGTATGAAACGTGTTGCCGCTCGGCTAGTCCCAAAAGACCAGAATTTTCTTCAAAAACTAAATCGCATGAAAGTCGCTGAGGATATGCTAGAACGAGTCAATACCGACCCAACATTCATGAAAGGCATTGTTACTGGTGACGAGACGTGGGTTTACGAGTTTGACATGCAAACTAGTCAACAAGCTTCGGAATGGCGCCTTCCAACTGAACCAAAACCGAAAAAACCACGTCAAAGTCGATCAAAAGTCAAAGTCATGTTGACTGTTTTCTTTGACTATCGCGGTGTTGTGCACTCAGAATTCTTGCCCGAAGGTCAAACGGTAAATAAAGAATATTATTTGAGCGTTATGCGGCGTTTAAGAGAACAAATTCGACGAAAAAGGCCAGAAATGTGGAAAGAAAATTCTTGGATTTTGCATCACGATAATGCGCCTTCGCACAAGGCCATCATTGTAAACGATTTTTTGTCCAAACACTCAACAAACACCATCGAGCAGCCACCGTATTCACCAGATATGGCTCCAGCCGACTTCTTTCTTTTTCCCACACTCAAATTACCCCTTCGTGGTACCCGTTTTCAATCGTTAGAAGACATAAAGGAGAATTCGCGGCGAGCACT